TGTTCTCTCTCTGTTGGTGAGATACGTCATGGCACCCACCCGCATTTCTCCCAGGCAAAATCAACCTCCAGGCTTTCCACACACCCGCAGGAAGACCAGGGCTGCGTACCACATTGTCGGAAGGTCACCTCTGAGATCGCTGCAATGGTTTGCTTGCTGAACTGCATGTCTTTGTCCAACGCAACTTCCTCGCAAAGACAACCAACTGTGTAGTGAACCGCTGCCTTTAGCCTCTGAAGTAAAATCAAAACACTTCATGGGTAAGACTGCAAATAAGAGCTCTTCACATCTTAAAAAATGAAGACCAAGACGGTCTGCTCAGCCTAAATTCCTTCAGCACTTTCCATAATGGCTGAGTGACTTTTCCAGTGCACTATAACACCTGTGGCCAGTGATTTGTTATGTAAGCGAATATTGAAACATCTCAAGTCAGCAACATTCAGGTAGCACGTATTAATACTAATGTGTTAGCACACGCCTTCACCCAATAGGCACTTGGCACATAAATGTGGAATAACTGAGTAAAGTTACACAGGTGCCTCCCAGATACCAGTCTGCCTTCTCTCCCCGCTGACCTGCCATTGTCATTCCTTATCTTTACTTCACCGAAATCATCACCATTAACTAGGAAGTGATGTTTCTACAAGTCACATTCCAGAGGCCCCACTGATTTATGTTTCTGCAAAAATATCCCCTGGTCAGTAATGTGCCAGGTATCTGGGGAACACAGTGAAAGAAGAGAGGGATTTTTGCCCCTAGATGGAAGTTAATCAAGCAAAAACAAAAGGACTGGGCCCTGTGCTTCAAGTCCTTGCCAGTCCCAGTCCTGCACGAGACAAAGGATGAATATCAGGACAACACTGTGGAAGGCTCCCGAGGGCACACTGGATCCTCCTCTGATTTGCTGGTTTGCTAGCCCACCTCAACAGGACCCTCAGCGCTCCTTAGCAACACCTTCCAGTGCTGGAAAACACTTCTTCCACATGCGGAGGAGAGGAGTAAAGAAACAAAACAAACCACGCCAAGGTCTCGGTCTCATGTCAACAAACTTGCTGAGCCCGGTGTGCGCACCACTCATGCTGGGGACGGAGCTGAACCGGATGCGGTGATGGCTGAACCCAAGACAAAGTCACCTCTACCAGCAAGTGCTCATGGCAGAGGCAAGACAAGGAGGGACTGCAAAAACATGAGTCCAGGGCCCAAGGAGAGGCCAGACAGGTAAGAAAGGGACTTACCTTCCTTCGTTTCAGATGTCACAAGAGCAGGTAAGTGGAAAGCGTTGGTGGAAAGAGACAAAGAGACCACCACCCTGGGAGGGATAAAGACCCTCCAAAGTCATCTTTTTGTTAGGTATGTGTAGAGGTGTGGTTAGGGATAGGGAAACATTCTCATTGCTCCAGAAGATTCCTCCATCCTTCCCCCTCATCCACTTCCTGGAACAGGTTAAGGGCCTTCTTCAATAGAGGCTAAGTCATGCCTGTGCGTGCACAGTTGCTAAGTTACATCCGATTCTGCAACCCATGGACTATAGCCAACCAGGCTCTTCTGTCCGCAAGATTCTCCAGGCAAGAATACTGGAGTGGGATGCCATTTCCTCCTCCAGGGGATCTCCTCCACCCAGGGATGGAACCCAGGACTGCTGCAGGTCTCTTGCCTTGCAGGCAGATTTTTTACCAATGAGCCACCGGCTTGGGTCAGAGGCTAAGTTACTAAACTCTAAATTCCTCAAGGGCAGGACCCTTCAGTACTGTTCACGGCTGTCCACCTAGTGGCAAGAATACCTGGCTGAGTGAAGAGTGGGATCACCACTGCACAGAGGATGAGGTTCAAATTTCTCGGTCCATCTTTGCAGCCTGATTCACTTATTCAGTAAGTATTTATTGTCTGTTGAGAGCTAGGCTCTGTACTAGGGGCTGAGAATACAAAACTGAAAAGAACAGTCCCTGCTCTCAAAGAGCTTATCTCCCACATCTTTGCCATGAATGGACTCTTCGAAACCACCAATGTCATGAAACCCAAAGGAGGTGGAGAGCCGTTCCAGGAGACCAAAGCCAGGACTAGACACAATGCAGGATCCCCGACTAGATCCTGGGTGAAGGAAAAAAAGGACCATGACAGAATATCTTTGGGACAACTGAGGAAAACTGAATATGGATTCATATTAGATAATAGGATTTTATCAATTATCAAGCTTCCTGAATGTGATCAGAGATTATGATCTTGTTCTTGGAAAAAGCATGTTAAAGTATTAAAACTTAAAGGTGAAGCATTAAGTGTACTTAATTAGCAAATAATTTCAAGAAAAGAAGTAAGGGAGCAAATACAGCAAAATGTTAACTGGTTAATCGAGGTGAGGGGCACATGGGTGATGAATGCGATAACTTTGCAACGTTTTCTGAAGGCTCGAACTTCAAAATAAAGGGAGGCGGTGGGTAAACAGCTTCTGAAATTTAGGAAGCGCCCCTTTCCTGAGTTCGTTCCCAATTCTCTTCGGTTAATCCTCTGAGATTCTTGGTTTTTCTCACGACTCTCCCACACGGCATTTATTCGCGGTGCTGACTGAAGGACTGAATACCAGCAACTATGCCGAGAGCTGGTTATTATCACCCTGATTTTCCCATCTAGGAAAATGAGTTCGGGGAGAGTCAACACAACACTGTGCGGAGTCGAGATTCCAACCCACATCCGATGGGTTCCGGAGCCGGGCGGCCCGGGTTTGCACCAGGTTCCAAGGCCGTCTCCTCCCCCGCAGGATGGACGCACCGATTAGAGGAGCCAAAATTTTTGGAGCTCGTGCCGCGTGCCTCGTAACAACGCTGATCGAGAAGGAGACTGAGCCTGTCACAAAGCCAGAGGGGCCTCCGCCGCCGGACTCCCGGTGCACGGCAGGTATTTTCCCCGAATCTTCCCTGTCAGCCACCCCAAGCTCCGACCCGCGAAACCAAGGAAACCGCCTCCCAGCACCCCCCGCGGCAGCCGGGTCAGCTCAAGCGCAGGCGCCAGAGGCGGCCGACCTCGGCCTCCGACCTAGGGCCTCGGTACGAAGACGAGGCTGGGCTGAGGCGGCGCCTGTTTCCCCGCAGAATCTCGACGCCGTCCTTCCCCAGCCCCGCCAGGACCCCATTCTCCTGTACCTGTCGGTAAGAGAAGCGTTGCTGCTCCTCGGCCCCCTCCTCCTCCTCCGTCATCTCCGCAGGTGGACACTGGCCGGCGCGCCAGGATAGAAAGACGCGCCCCCCAGGGCGGCCTGGTCGGATTTTCCCGCCGCGGCGCCGGGCGACGGGCCGCGCTGCGGGCCAAAGCGCGAAGCTGCCGGCTGCCTCGCGCGCGCCCTGGCGGCGACTCTGGGAAGGGGGCCTCACAGCGCGCCTGCGCCCGCCCCGCCCCAGCCAAGCTCCCGGGGGACCTCAGGCCCAGCTCTGCGCTCCACACAGTTGTCAACACCAGCTCTCAGAAACAATATGTGTGTAGGGACAACGGTTCGCAACTCGGTTGTAAATTCCATGCGGCTGCAACCTCGATATGCCTTGAAAAATCTAGTGTGAGTTTTTTTTATAATTCTATAGTGTCACAAAGTCAGATCACTGATAAATGATTTCTATCCCCTTCAGCGAAAAAGTTTCTCACCCCGCTGCCGTTGCCAAAGGAATATAGTTTTGACTCAAGTGTTAGCTGATTTTCCTTTATGTTAAGAATTAAGGAACTTACCAGGATTCCCTGGAGGTCCAGTGGCTAAGATTCCGCACTTCCACTGCAGGGGGTGCGGAATTAATCTCTGGTGTGAGAACTAAGAACCCACATGCCAGGCGGCCATGAATTTTTTTAAAAAAAGAGGAAATAAGGGGGAAAAAAAAAAGAAATAAGGGACTTCTCTGGTGGTCCATCCAGTGGAGTTCAATCCCAGGTGAGGGAGCTAAGATCCCACATGCCTTGTGGCAAAAAAAAAGAGAAAGCGGAAGCCCTATTGTTTACCACCTGAGCTATGAGGGAAGCTCTGTAACAAATTCAGTGAAGACTTTAAAAAAAAAAAAGAAGTGAAAAATAGTGAAACCTAACAGTTACATCTTCACTGCTTCCCAACTTTCTTCAATTATTTTCCTCCTTTCCAGCTTCACTCTTTGGAGTTTCACTCATTTTTGGATGACATGAGGAAGGAACTTCTCTACCGAACTGAATAATAGTGTCAAGTACTGGAAGAATATTTCCTCAGCTTATGCTATTCATGCTACAAAGGGTAGAGTCGCCATGCACATTCAAGTTCAATCTGCATTATTAACATCCACCCCCCCCCACTTCCATAAGCAGTCAACAAGGAATTAAACCCTGATTTGCAGGTTTCCTTGGTGTAAATACTCCCACTGTTGCCAGATTTCAAGCAACCAATATGAAGAAGCTGAACTCAGCATTTGTTACAGACTAGACTTGTTTGACTCACTGGAAAAGACCTTGATCCTGGAAAGATTGAAGGCAGGAGGAGAAGGGGACAACAGAGGATGAGTTGGTAGGATGGTATCACCGACTCGATGAACATGAGTTTGAGCAAGCTCCGGGAGTTGGTGATGGACAGGGAAGCCTGGCGTACTGCAGTCCGTGGGGTTGCAAAGAGTCAGACACAACTGAGCAACTGAACTGAACTGAGACGTGTTTGAGAGTTGAGCCATAAAGAAGGTTGAGGACCGAAGAATTTATGCTTTTGAACTGTGGTATTGGAGGATACTCTTGAGAGTCCCTTGGACTGCAAGGAGATCAAACCAGTCAATCCTAAAGGAAATCCATCGTGAATATTCATTGAAGGACGGATGCTGAAGCTGAAGCTCCAATACTTTGGCCACCTGATGAGAAGAACCGACTCATTGGAAAAGACCCTGGTGCTGGGAAAGATTGAAGGCAGTAGAAGGGGACGACAAAGGATGAAATGGTTGGATGGCATCACCAACTCAGTGAACGTGAGTTTGAGCAGGCTCTGGGAGATGGTGAAGGACAGGAAAGTCTGGCGTGCTGCAGTGCAGTCCATGAGGTCACAAAGAGTCAGACACGACTGAGTGACTGAACAACAACAGGCTTGTTTGCCCCACAAGCAGCAGGCCTGACACTGAAGTTTGCAGCAGAGAAGGAGTTTGTTGATGAGGTCACCATGAAAGGAGAACACAGTTCCAACTCTGAGGGCCAGAGGCTTGAGATAGTTATGGGATAAAGAATCAGGTGGGGATGTCCCCAGTGGTCCAGTGGTTAAAACAGTTAAAACTCCACCTTCCAATGCAGGGGGGTGCAGGTTTGATCCCTGGCAGGGGAACTAAGGGCCCACATGCCACAGGGCAAGGTCAAATTAAAAGCAGCAAAGTAGGCATGAGGAAAGATGATTGGAGACAGGGAAAAGGTGAGGCAGTCTGTATCCTGCACCAGGCCAATTTTAGGCTCAGTGGTCCAAACTGGTCTTAGCTGGTCTGAACTGGGCAGGAGCCAACTCCAAAGTTTTGGAAAACAAAGTAAAACTCCCGTTACTATATTGACCCATACATCAGAAGCGTTATCTGTAGGGCTGGTTTCAAAGTCTAGTGATACATTAACTTGGCTATGTGGAGCTCAGAGGGTATGCAGCTAGAGAATGGGTAAAAAAAAAAAAAGCAAGTCAGCAGGCTTAATCAGTAAAGAAGCTGCAAACAGAAAGGTTTCTGACATGCTGTTCCCTTATCTGCTGTTCTGTAGGACACACACTGAGCTTCTGTTAACCCTTTGGACGTGATTTCACACAGGGAAGAGATGATGCACACCCACCATTCAGACACAGTAGATGGAAATAACCAAGAACAGATGATAAAAAAATGTGCAACATAGTAGCATAATTGATCATAAGTGATGACTTTTGAGTTTTTACTAACTTTGTTTTTAATACAATTTTTTAAGTCTGTATTTATGTAACTTCTTTTTTTTTAATGTCTTTATAAAAATCTGTTTGTTGGACTTCCCCGATGATCCAGTGGTAAAGAATCTGCCTGCCAATGCAGACACGGCTTCAATACCTGATCTGGAAAGAGTCCACACACCATGGGGCAACTAAGCCCGTGCACCACTACTGAGCCCATGAGCCACAACTACTGAAGCCTGCATGCCCTAGAGCCAGTCCACAAGAGAAGTCAACTGCAACCATAAGAAGACCCTCGTGCAGCAACGAAGACCCAGCTCAGCCAAAAATAAATTTTTTAAAAATCTGCTTATTTGTTTTATCTTTTGACCTAACCACATGGCCTGTAGGATCTTAGTTCCCCAACCAGGGATCAACCCCCCACCCCCTGCACACACCTCAGAGTCTTAACAACTGGACCTTCAGGAAAGTCACATTGTAACTTAATTCTTAGTAATGGCTGTGTTTGTCTCTAGTTTTCTCTTCTCTTGAAAATTAGGCGTTCACCTCCTGCTGTAGGAACTGGTTCTAGCAGACTTCTGGCCTAGCACATAGCGTGCACTTACTAATCCCAAGTGGAAAGAATGTACTCTGCTGAAATCAGTTTTTAAAGACCTGGGTGCTCAGCCTGCTTAACTGAGGTCCAGTGAGAGCCCAGGGCCCAGCTCGTGGTGGGGGCTCACCGAATGTTTATTGAGGATCTGACTCACAGCAGCATCTCAGTGAGTCTTGAAAAAGCAGAGGCTCCTTAATAATAGGCCAGCTCCCCAGGTCATCAGCAATGCAGGGGCCCCCAATTTTTTTAAAAAGAAATTTGACTCAGATATACATGTATCCCCCGCCTTTGAAAGTTTGCAGTAAGCCTGTTCGTTTTTTAAAATATTTATTCATGTATCTATTAATATTTGGCTGCACTGGTGCTTAATAGCAGCATGCGAGACCTTTAGTTGTGGCAAGCACACTCTCAGTTGTGGCGTGGGGGGATCTGGTTCCTGATCAGGGATCAAACCCCAGCCCCGTGCATTGAGAACATGGATTCTTAGTGACCAGGCCACCAAGGCAGTCCCTCGGCCACTTCATTTTTTTTACGAAGTTCTCCATTACTATGGTTATGGCTTTTTTTCTGGTAAAAGTGAAAATTCTCTTTCGGTTAGCAAAAACGGGTGCTAAGATATGTGTTCATTTGCTCAGTCGCATCCAACTCTGCGACCCCATGAACTGTAGGCTCCTCTATCCATGGAATTTTCCAGGCAAGAATACTGTAGAGGGTTGCCGTTTCCTCCTCCACGGGATCTTCCCAACTCAGGAATCAAACCTGCATCCCCTGCATCTGCATTGGCAGGCAGATTCTTTACCACTGCACCACCGAGTGGCAGAACTTGAACTTTCATGACGAGGGGAACTTATTTTCTAAAGCCTTATTGCAGTCATCAGGGGGGAAATAGTATTTTCAGACTTTCTCACACTAGTTTTACAGTGTAGTGGTGTGTTTACTTTTAACTCATGTTGAGAGCCCTTAGAGGCCTCATCACATCCCAGGCCTTTCCTCTATTCCAGCACCTTCTCACTGCAGGTTAAAATCATATGGCTTTCTTGACAGGTGTAAAACTACCAAGGAGAAGAAGGGTGCACAGAGTTTTTTTATTTGTGCTTCATTGGAAGAATATACAAGCGGCCTCCCTCCTACTACCTCTATGGAGGAGTCAGGGATAGAGGAGAGAGGCTGCAGATGAAGAATCATACAGGGTTTCCTTTTGACTCCTCAGCCCACAGCTACCCCTCACCTCAGCTGAATCCTAAGCAGGGGAGGGGTGCTGAGGAGGCAGAAGTTCAACATACAAAGCCATTAGGGGTTGATTAGGGCTTCCCAGGAGGTTTTAGTGGTCAAGAGCTTGCCTGCCAATACAGGAAACATGGGTTCAATCCTTGGGTCAGGAAGATCCCATGGAAAAGGAAATGGCAACCCACTCCAGCATTTTTGCCTGGGAAATCCCATGGACAGAGGAGCCTGGTGGGCTACAGTCCTTAGGGCTGCAAAGAGTCTGATACGACTGAAGTGACTTAGCACACACAGAATCTGAGGTGGATTGAATCTGCAGGTGCAGAACCACAGATTTGGAGGTTGTAATGAGTATAAGTTATACACAGATTTTCAAGGGTGGGGTGAGCTGTTGTTCAGGGGTCAGCGGTTTGGTAGGAACTGTTTTTACTGGATGAAAAGCTGCCGTGTAAACTGGCCACTCTGTGCTCAGCCACTCAGTTGCATCCCACTCTTTGCGACCCCATGAACTGTAGCCCTCCCGGCTCCTCTGTCTATGGGATCTTCCAGGCAAGAATACTGGAGTGGGTTGCCATGCCCTTCTCCAAACTGGCCACTATGTGGCAGCATTGCGTCACACCAGGGAACTAGGCCCTCCTGGTGATCACCAGGGATTAACACTCACTGAGCGCTGACTTGCTCCTGAACGTGCTCCAGGTGCCTTGCTGTCGGAGGTAGGTACCATTACCCCCATTTTATATATGAAGAGGGTCCCACAGGTGAAAGAACTTTGCCTGAGGTTAAAATTGGCAGGAAGTGGTAGAGCCCAGATTTGAAGCAGCCTGGCCTCTGAGTCCACGGTCTTATCCTCTGCCCTGGTCCCACTGCCCTCACCATAAACAGGGCAAGCACAGTGCAGGCTTCCTGAGCCCTTTCCAGCTGCATTAAATAGGAGACCATAAATGTTGAATCATTCATTTTTCCTAAATTTTCACTGTAAAATGTCAATTCAAAACTCCATCTCCATCAGCTGTTAGATATATTCTAGGAGCTGGTGGCCTTTTGGCTAAGATCAAGTGTCCGATAGGGGCTTCCCAGGTGGCACAGTGTTAAAGAGACCACCTGTCAGTGCAGCAGACATAGATACACAGTTTCGATCCTGGGTTGGGAAGATCCCCTGGAGGAGGAAATGGCAACCCACTGTGCTATTTTGCCTGGAGTAGTCCATGGACAGAGGAGCCTCTCCGGCTACAGTCCATGAGGTCAGAAAGTCAGACACAACCAAGTGACTGAGCACAAGAACTCATGATGTCCGGAGCTTCAGATTCTCTCACCACCAAACCAATGGTTACAGCAATGTGTGTCTCCCCCATTGGCCACCCTGAGCGGTAGGATAACCTGGTGATTGTATATGTGGGTTCTGGCTCAGACTTCAGTTCTGCAGGAGCTCTGTGACCTTGGACAAGTTACTTCACATCCTCAGGCTTTGTCTGTAAACTGGGAATAGTGATAGTACCTCTTTCAGAGGTTTTGTATTATAAGTAAACTTAAAACAGTGCCTGGCACACCCTCTGTTAGCTATTGTTATATTCTCATGTGTGCCATTGACTACTATATGAGGCCCTCAGGAAAACCCCCAAATAAGGCCAGAGTTCCCAACCTCCCCATATCACAAATTGTCATTTTCAAAGGAAGCATATTTGGCAGATTATATTTGAAAAAAAAAAGAAAAATCTCCTGACCCACATGCTCCTCTAGAACTCTCCACTCCACCATCAAGAGGTAAAGCCTAATATTCCTTCCCTTGAACTTATAAATCTCTTGTAACTGATATAATGTGGCTGAAATAATGCTCTGCTACATCCACTGTTGTTGTGCAGTCACTCAGTCGTGTCTGACTCTTTGCGACCCCATGGACTGCAGCACGCCAGGCTTTCCTGTCCTTCACTATTCTTCCAGAGCTTGCTCAAACTCATGTCCATTTAGTCGATGATGCCCTCCAACCATTTCATCCTCCGTCATCTCCTTCTTCTCTTGCCTTTAATCTTTCCCAGTGTCAGGGTCTTTTCCAGTGAGTCAGTTCTTTGCATCAGGTGGTCTAAGTTTTGGAGCTTCAGCATCTGTTCTTCCAATGAATATTCAGGGTTGATTTCCTTTAGGATTGACTGGTTTGATCTCCTTGCAATACTAGGACCTCTCAAGAGTCTTTTCCAATACCACAGTTCAAAAGCATCAATTCTTCAGTGCTCAACTTTCTTTATGGTCCAGCTGTCACATTCATACATGGCTAATGGAAAAACCACAGCTTTGACTAGACAGACCTTTGTCGGCAAAGGAGTATCTCTACTTTTTAATACACTGGCTAGGTTTGTCATAGCTTTTCTTCCAAGGAGCAAGCGTCTTTTAATTTCATGGCTGCAGTCACCATCTGCAGTGATTTTTGAGCCCAAGAAAATAAAGTCTGTCACTGTTTCCATTGTTTCCCTGTTTATTTGCCAATATGGCTAGGCCTTAAAGGCAAAGTGGTGTTTGTTTTGTTAGCTGCAACACTGAGCCACCAAGTAAGATGTTTGCCTCAGTTGAGGCCACATGGTGAGGCCACCATGTACCTTTCCAGCTGATAGCCAGGGCTGAGGTCCCAGCCAACACTGGCCACCTGATGAATGAAGAAGACAGACACCTCCACGTGGTCCCAGCCATGGAACCACCCCCAGCTTTCAAGTCTTCCTAGCTGAGGCCCCTAGATATTGTGGAACAGAGATAAGCCGTCACCCAGGTAGCCTTCCAAATGTCTGACTCTCAGGATATAAAAAAATGGTAGTATGTTACGCCACGGGGTTTAGGATGGTTTGTTACACACTGGGCAGAAACTGGCACTGCGTATCCATTACTAGACAGTGAACGTGTCTGTGCTAACATACATACTAAGCATGGCATATACATCCTGATGGTCTCTCTACCCCTCCTGAAAAGATGGCTTCCATCTGCCTCAAAGATGACAGCTGCAAATCCCCTGCCTAAAGCCTCTGCTGAGAGATCATGTCTGCTCCCTTGTTGAATCCATTTCTTTTTTTTCTCCTTCAATTGAAGTGTGATTGCTTTACGATATTGTGTTAAGTTTCTGATATATAACATCGATCAGGTCTATGTGTGTGTATATATCTCGACCCTCTTGAGCCTTCCTCCCTCCCCCATGTTTTTCTAATTAACTCCTTTCTGTCCCACATAAAGCAGGAAGAAGCTGTGGCTGACATCATAATAGGCCTACAAAGTGTTTTTTTGCCAAGGGAAGCCCTTTGCCAGAACAGACCCCGGACTGTCCCCGCAGCAGTTGTGCTGGACAGGACCCACCAGGCTGGGAGCAGAACCGGTCTGTGTCCACCTCCAGCCACTTTTAATTAAGATTGTTCAACTACCTCACCTTCACCAGGAGGCAGGTAGTAAAGAGTAAATCATAAATAGGATTCACTATGTGGCAAACACTAATCCTCAAAAGAGTTTTGTGACACAGGCGCGATTATCATCTTTTTACAGACGAGGCAGCACATAGGTACCAAGGTTAAGGATCAGAGTAACCATGAATTAGTGGTGAATCTAAGGTATGGGCCCAGGCTCTAAACATTGGGCTGAGCTGCCTTTACTAGAGCAAACGTAAGTAGTTTTTTATCAATGTATTTTTCTAATAAGTCATGGTATATAAAATTCCTAAGGCATGAAATAATATATAGAAAAAAAAACCACCCAGGCAAAGGATTCATATTATTTTAACAATAAAAAGTTTCCTTTTATCTTGCCCTTCTTATGCCACAATGGGAACCTGGGAGCTTGTTAGAAATGCAGAATGTATACACAGGTATACCTGTGGCTGATTGGTGTTGATGTATGGCAAAAGCCATCACAATATTGTGAAGTAATTATTCTCTAAAATAATTTTTAAAAAGAAATGCAGAATATGGGTTTCCCACCCCAGACCTGCTGACTCAGTCTACCTCCTCCCACGCCCAACCCCCACCAAGCTCCACCCCCTGGCAGGGTGGTGGTGGTGGTGAAGGGGTTATATTGGTGGTATATTCAGTGAAGATCTGCTTGTCTTAACTTACACACCTGAGCACACAGAGGAGCCCCGCCAAGAACTGTTTCAGGGCTGGTTTGTAAAGTGAATTCACCAGTAAATGCTGAGAAGTAACATTTGGTTTCTTCAGAAATACCACTGTGTCCAGGACAGGCACACCCTCAAGTGGTAATAATTACCATTACCAATAATTACAAATAATAATAATTACCATTTATGTAGGTGCTTATTATGTGTCAAGTGTTGTTCAGTTTTTACCAGGTGTATCTTCAAAATAGCCTTAAGGAGGCCAGAATTCTCTAGGCCAGAATAATGGAGTGGGTAGCTGTTACCTTCTCCAGGGGATCTTCCCAACCCAGGGATCAAACCCAGATCTCCCAAATTGCAGGCGGATTCTTTATCAGCTGGGCCACAAGGGAAGCTTCTTAAGGAGGCAGGTATGATTATTATCCCCATTTTACAAATGAGAAAACAGAGGCCAGAAATCTTAAATAATTTGTCTTAAGTCATACAGCCAGGTCATAAGGTAGTTCACTCACTTCTTGACTATTTCCTCACCCTTCCCTCCAGAGTTAATCATTACCTAACTTTAGTGTTTCTGGTATTGGTTTTTTATTTTTTTTTAAAGAAAATAAGAAAATATATTTAACAAGACTAAATAAAGGAAATAAACTAATTCAAATGTAATGAAATCAGGTGCACATCTTTCTGCCAGTGAGGCTGTGGCTCAGTGTGGATGAGGTAAGACTACTTAAAGAGTCTGGAGGAAAAGCATAAATACGATTTTTCATGTTGTTTTTTTTTTTCTTTTATTAAGTAAAAGGAAAGGGGGTTCAGGTGTGTGATACAAAGGATCCAGTTTGATCAAATTCCACAAAACCTTTCCCCACCTTGATGAGAGCTGCTGCCTCCCTCACCCACAGGGGACATGCGGGGAACTCTGCCTCGGGGAGCTGGCTCACACTGTCTCGCACACACTCCACTCCTGCTCCGTCCCAAGGGGCAAGGGCAGAGGGCGTGCTGATTCTCTCAGAACTACTTGCACATAGAGACTTGGGCCAACTCTTCAGAGGAGTTTCTTACGACACATGATATTTTAAAAGATCTGAGCAGAAAGTAGGGCAGAGGACCATGTAAGCAGTGCGGTGTGGCAAACGGAATGCCCCGGTCTGCAAAGTCACGGCTTGGAACAGAATCCCATCAGGCGTTGTACGACGATGAGGACACGCTGCCGCCATGGCCTGTCCAGTTGGTGTGCAGGAACTGGCCCGGCTTGGCCAAGAGTTCGTAGGTGTGCGCCCCGAAGTAGTCCCGCTGGGCCTGGAGAACAAGGGACGGGCTGGTTAGGACAGAGGCAGGCACGGGACTCTGGGCACCACCCAGGTGCATGTTCACCACCCACCCTAAAGCTTACCTGGATGAGGTTGGCCGGCAGCATCTCGTGTCTGTACCCATCGTAGAAAGAGAGAGCAGTGGTGAAGCAGGGCATGGGAATGCCTGCCTGGACACCAGTACTGATGGCCCGCCGCCAGGAGTCCTGAGCCAGAAAAGCAAAGCCAGAAACTAGTAACTAGCTCTCGGAAAAGACAGACTTTCAGGCATGTGTGAAAAAGCAGACACCCTTCAGAGCAAAACCCACTGAGACAGAATTCCCATACCACCCAGCTCTGGGCTACACACCTGGCAGTTTTCCACAGCTGACTTAAAGAAGTCATCCAGCAATAGATTCTGAAGTCCTGGGTTCCGATCAAATGCATCTTTTATCTTTCCCAGGAATACACTGAAATAACCAAGAGAGAGGAAGTCAATGAATCTCAAGTAGCAGGCTGACAGCCTGGCAGAAAGGAGAGGAAGTTAACAGATACCCCAGCGAGCTACAAAGGCACCTGTCCTCCCAATCCCACCCCCAAAGCTTGCTGTACGGACCAGCAACACCGAAGCCCAGGTCGCGACAGGTCTGGGCAGACGGCACGACGGTGCACATGGAAGCAAGCACTTTAGACGGGGTGATGTGGACACTCACATAACTGACACACAGGAAGAAGGTGAGGCGTGATTCCTAAAGCTGCCTGGTTGCCAGCGAGGACTCCCTGTACAGCTCCAGGAAAGCCCTTCTGCGAGCGCCTGAGCCCCCGGTTCCCCCACCGCCACTCACCTCCTGATGATGCAGCCCCCCCTCCACATGAGGGCAATGCCGCCATAGTTGAGGGTCCAGCCAAATTCAGTGGCCGCCTGTCTTAGCAGCATGAAGCCCTGAGCGTAAGAGATGATCTTGGAAGCATAGAGGGCCTGAAGACGGACACCAAGACTCATCAGAACTGCAGTCAGCACACGGATGCCCTATCCTCCCTGCCCCCTCCCCATTCGCCCCAGCAGCACAGATCCTGCTGCCTCATCCCCACCCCCAGCAGTGCAAGGACTACAGTTTAGGACAGGCTGCAGATCCGATCAAAGGGCAAGGCTGGACTGTACCCCTCCATGTGGCCTCAGGATGCTCTCCGGCAGCAGCCCCCTCCCCTACCCCACCCCCACAGGGCCTGCACCCCACCTTTCGAATGTCCTCCAGGAATGATTTCTTATCTCCCTCAAAAGGGATACTCTGAGGCCCCTTCAGCTTTTTGCTGGCTTGGATCCTCTCGTCCTTCAGAGATGACAAGCATCTCGCAAAGACGGCTTCTCCTGCGTGGGGGGAGGGGGTAGATAATGTGTCACTAGTGTGCACACACAGAACCCGAGGAGGAGTGCTCGAGCCAGAGTGGTGAGGGGAGCAGAAGTGGAGCACGACTTCAGTGTTACAAAGGGCTGAAAGCCTCAACCTTAGGCCCCCAGAGTTAAAACAAACTTTCCTAAGAAGCTCGAAACAGTTAATCTGAAAATTAGAAGTCCAAGTCAGTCTTCCACATAAATGTTGGTATTCAACCACAAAGACCACCATGAAATTCAAAGGGGGCGCTTTAAGGGGAAAAATGAAGCAGAAGAATCACTATTATTACTATAAAATCACTATTAAGAATTAACTCGGTGTTGGTCCAATGGTAAAATTTGTTCCAGCTGGGAGGACTTTAATTTTTAAATGCTCACCAATGACTCAATTTATTTTCTTTTAAGCACTAATACCCATAACTCTGAAACAACCAGTACATTGAGAAGAAACACAGACTTCACCCTTCATAAAATTCCATTTTCTAATTCTTACAGTTTAATTTTCGGTATATCCATGATCATCATTACAGTTTTAACAATTTTATTTCATTTGAGTAAAAAAATTTCAGTATAGTACTTTATCTTTTTGGTGAGGCAGGTGGCATAGAGGATCTTAGTTCCCTGACTGGGGATCAAACCCATGGTGCCTGCAGTGGAAGTGCACAGTCTTAACCACTGGACCTCCAGGGAATTCCCTCGGTATAGTATTTTAATATTAAGACCATTTGGTATCTTAAAAATCATCACTTATAAATATTCACCCAATTGACAATTTGCAAAATTAGAATAACTGACCATTTTTCCCAACAGACAAAATGAAGTAAAACCTTTAGGGACTAACAGGGGACCTCAGTTTTGAGGAAAGGATTCTGGCCATAGACTTAAGAGCGGGTGTCTCCCTGGCCCTGTCCGCCTCTCTGGGCTCTTGCACACACATGATGACTTAGCAGTCCTGGGTAGAGGCTTCGAAAGACAAAAGGCACAAGAAGGCAAGTGTGGTGTAACCGCAGGGTTGCTGAAAGATTAGACAGAGGACTTGCTTCCCCATTAGTTCAGCAAGCAAGCATGGCACCTGGCCAGGGAGGAAGCTGCCTGCCATCCATAGGAAGGGACAAAGTCTCTGAAACGTCTGAGCAGGACTCTCTTGAGGGCTGTAATACTCATATATTTGAGTCAATGATGAACAACTGCTCTCAGTTACTGGTTCCATGATCCGCCCCCGCCCCCCCCCCCCCCCCGAGGGATTCAGATTAGCTAAATAGCAGCCCACTTCCTTCTCTGGAGAGCTGGACTAACTGCTTCCCTCCTCACCAGGCCTGCAACCACCCTGTTCACTATGAACAGTGAAGCGTAATTAACCAGGAAACCAAAGCTGGGGAGATTAGGGAGGGAAAGGCAACCCGCGTCTGGAAGAGCCAACAGCGTTGGGGAGCCACTCTGCCAGGAGCAACAACCAACCTGTCATTAAACAGGCCAGGGCCCTCCTTCACTCTTCGTTTCAGTCTTGCCGGAATGTATCTATTTTATTCTTTTTTATTTGTTTTTTTGCCACAGAGAAAGGCATGCGGGATCTTAGCTCCCCCATCAGGGACTGAACCTGTGCCCCCTGTGGTGGAAGTCCCTATTTTATTCTTAAAGAACCATCATGCAGTTCTGTTAATCCTCTTAGTATTTTTATCTCTGCTGATTATTTCCTTTTCTCTACATCTTTTTGAGTTTGATGCTTAGCTCATTAAAATAAAAAAACAAGGGTGGGAAGGATATAAGACAACTTCAGGATAGCAGTACTCTTCTAAAAGGAGAAGGAACTTAGGAAAGGAAAGAAATATTAAAGGACTGGAAATGCATAAGTAATATTTTCTTAGATAACTGAGAAAAAACCTTAGCAAAATAGTAATAAATGTTGAGTACCTAAGATTTTATTATTGTGTGAACTGCTGTATGAAAAATTCCACTACAGTTACCTTTCCTATTAAAAAGACCTTGAGTCACTGACTGTAGTTAATTCACTAATGTTAAAATGATACAGGGACTTCCCCAGCAGTCCAGTGATGAGGACTCAGCGATTTCACTGCATGGCCCCGGCTTCTGTCCCTGGTCAGGGAACTAAGATCCACAAGCTGAGCAGTGCAGCCAAAAAAAAAATAATAATAATAATCCTCAAAGTCAAACTGCAAAAGACAAGACAGTGATTCTGGAATTCATTTCAAAGCTCACATGACTGGCAGAAGGATTACAAAGAGATTCAAAGGCAGCTTCAGCTTCTCTCACACTGTAAATTTACGCAAATGCAGGAAGAACAGACTGCACCTGGAAAGCCGACTAGGGTTGAATAGGTGCTCGGAAAGAGCTGCTAACTCTCAGTGGCCGGGCTATACTAACACTCCAGAAGGACATCAGGATCAAAATCATGAGACAGAACAGTTCAGTCAAAAGCTAAGCGTTACCGATGAGGGTGACAGGCACGCCGTACTCCAGGGCAGAGATGGCGGTCCATTTCCCAGTGCCCTTCTGCCCCGCGCTGTCCCTGATCTTTGGCAGCAGGTGTTTGCCATCAGCATCTTGGAACTTGAGAATACTGGCTGTGATTTCAATCAGGAATGAGTCCAGCTCTGTCTTATTCCATTCCTCAAAGGCCTGTGTGCAAGACATGAAAGAAAACAATGTGAGAGAAACCAAGATTATACAGGAGACACTCCCTTAACGGACTCATCCTTCTCCCCTGTCAATACTGACGGATGCTCACAACCTGCTCAACACCTGAAGCTAACCGGCTCCTCTCCAGGACACCCGAACACTTCTCCCACCAGCTGAGTTTTATGTTGAGAGGCAGCTGCATCTGATTGCAGCCTGTTGATGCTGGTCTTCTGATCAGCAGACTGTGCTTCCCTGAGCTGGGTGTACCCTCACCTCGCATGGGTCTCCGTACAGTCACCTTTCTCCATCAGTCGATCCAGAGAGCGGCCTCATACATCCCTTTACTTTTCTTTACAATAATGATCATGAACTAGCTTTTTATAATCAGTCATTATTGTCTGTCTTCTCAAGATCCATGAGGGCAAGGACTTTGGTTTTTTCCACTAATATATTCCCAACATAGAAGAGTGCCTGGCATATAATACAGCACTCATATTATGTAAACAAATTAAATATGAACACACACAAAAAAGTAGTATTTCTAGGAAAACTAAGTCATTGTTTTTGAAAGAACAATAAAGAAAAATCAGTAAAACAAGGTAAATGGGGATGACACACATTTAAAAGTTAGGAGGGAAAAATTAAAAAAAATAAAAATTAGGAGGAAAAAAATGTAGAGAATCTGGAAGGATTCTGCACTGTGTGCCTTGCAAGTAAGCATCTTTTAATCATGTTCTACTGGAAATAATTGAAAGGATGAGCTCTAGATGAGAAGGCTGACTAGAATGCTTATCAGCATGGCCACACTTAAGAGGACCCAAGTCTCATAAAATGATGGGTGAATGAATTCTTGAACATACCTTCCTATATTTTTTCGGGGGACTGCACTGTAAAGCATGTGGGGTCTTAGTTCTCCAACCAGGGATGGAACCCATGTCCTCTGCAGTGGAAGCTCAGAATAGGGGACTTCATTGTTAGTCCAGTAGTTAAGACTTCCACTGGTCAGGGAACTAAGATCCCACCTGTTATGTGGCCAAAAAATAAATGTTTGCCTATTTAATGATGCTGAAGTATCCAAAGAGTACTAATACCTGCAGTTTACTTTGAAGTATACATTTCAAATATATATAAGAAATATATTTATATAAAACTAATAGAGGGATGGACAGATACTCAATAAAGCAAGTACTTAATATAGCAAAATGTTAATGGTATAGTCTAGGTTGTGTGTATGTAAGTGATCACTCATTCTTTCAGTTGTCTTATATGTTTGAACACTTTCATAATAAAATGTTGGGGGAGACACTTGTTTCCATCTCTAACTTTTTGATTAACTGTCAGCCAGTCCCACCTTGATCAGAAAAGCAGGCTTCTGCTGCTCCTCCCACGAGGGACCCTGCAGTTGAGTGACACTGGCCTGACACACCATCATGTGGGGGTGGTGATTACCATCAAGAGCCCCTGGCTGAGTGATCGGCTGTCAGATTTTATGATCCTATCACTGAGTCCAGCCAGGCCACCAGAATGACCAAGAGAAAAAGTATGAGCAAAGATTTATTGCTACCACCCATGGGGCTCCTGAGGTGGTGCTAGTGGTAAAAAAAATCCACCTGCCAATGCAGGGTCGGGAAGATCCCCTGGAGAAGGAAGTGGCAACCCACTCCAGTATTCCTGCCTGGAGAATCCCATGGACAGAGGAGCCTTGTGGGCTATAGAGTCCATGGGGTTACCAAGAGTCAGACACGACTGAGCATGCAGCACTCCCGCCCCGCCCAAGGCTCACCTTGGCCATCTCCTGGTGTCCCATGCCCAGGACGTCCTTCATCAGGTGGTAGGCCTCACAGATGAGCTGCATGTCCCCGTACTCTATGCCGTTGTGCACCATCTTCACAAAGTGTCCCGCACCCTCGTCCCCCACCTGTTAGAGCCACAAGCCAAGAGGCCTTCAGGGGTCCACAAAACACCAGAGGAGCCCATGCCCAATTCTTTGGCCAGACTCCCTCCCCAGACAAAAAAATGAAGACGTATCTACAGTATTTTCAACCGCAAGGGGAAACGAGCTGGCCACCAGTTAAACCACTTGTACTTCAAACAATATAGAAAGGTTCTGTAGTTGTAATGGCTGCTGAGGGGTAAGGAGACCTCAGATGCAAGGTCTGGCCCTCAACCATGTAAGCCCAGAAATGTGTTCTCGCCAGGGTGCCAGAGTGGACAAGGTACTGATGTACAGTAAAGCCAGTAAGGTTACAAAACCACAATACCACTTTGTGAATTTATGATGAGAAATTTAACTTAGTGTATCTTAGTGGTGACCAGTGTTAGTCCAAGCGACACCCTCCTCTGTCCCTGTGGACAAGCCACATGGGAAGCCAGAGTACCTGAAAACTGGCTGAGGGCAAGGAGTCTGGACGAGGAGCGTGACGGGGCATCAGACTGCACCGTCAGGTGCTGCCATCTCCAGGCCAGGGACGTGCTGGGACATGCCTGCCCGTGGACGGTGCTGGCAGCCTAAGCGGTGTCCCCGCAGTCGCACAGCCGGGAGGAATGCTGTCCCAGGTCACCCTTACACAGACGCTTCCTCCACCCGCGTTACCACTGCTGACCTACCCCCTCCTGGTTCTGACACTTTCTTTGGCCGTTAAATAACATGGCTAATAACACCTTGCTTCACCCTTTCCTTCCTATAACTTCAGTACTGAACTAAGGGGTGCCCACTTTTAGTGTCTAGACCAGTTTTTTCAATAACCTAAGGGTAGGGCTTGGGGCTATGGAAAGTCAACCAGAGTTGACCAAGATACACAAGGAAGTACTGTTATTTTCTCCATGGTTATGTCCTAAATGTATCTAAAAAAAAGTTACTGCCACTGTACCTTCATTTTTACTGTAGCAATTTATTCAAGGAACAACCTCCCTTCCCAATCCTCCACACTTGTGAGGAAGTTACTCAGTCCTCTGAATCACAGCACCAGCCCCTCTTGACACAAGGAGTTCTGACTGACCTCAGTGACCACGGGTTAAAGTGTGAGGGCAGCTTAGTCACCAGGCCCTGTCAGGCCAGGGCATGGGGAGGACCCCTTATTCCCTGTGTCCTTGAGTCCTTGTTTCATCCCTATCTTTTATCTCATGTAAAAGAAAACATAATAAAAATGGTACGTAGAATAAAATTCCAGGAGATTAGGAGCTAATGCGATCTTGGAGGTCACCCAGCCCAACCCCCGTATTTGACAAATGAGAACACTGAACCCCATGGAAGACAGTGACTGAAGCCCAGGGGACCCAGTGACTGAAGCCCAAGGGACCCAGTGACTGAAGCCCATGGAAGACAGTGACTGAAGACCATGGGACACAGTGACTGAAGCCCAGGGGACCCCGTGACTGAAGCCCAGGGGACCCAGTGACTGAAGCCCATGGAAGACAGTGACTGAAGCCCAGGAGACCCAGTGACTGAAGCCCAGGGGACCCAGTGACTGAAGCCCACGGAAGACAGTGACTGAAGCCCACGGAACACAGTGACTGAAGCCCATGGAAGACAGTGACTGAGGCCCAGGGAACACAGTGACCGATGATCACGGAACACAGTGACTGAAGACCATGGAACACAGTAACTGAAGCCCAGAGGACACAGTGGCTGAAGCCCAGGGAACACAGTGACCACCTAATGTCACAGTTCTAGTTAGTGGGGAGCCAGTATGACAACTCATGTGTCCCCAGCCCAGCGCTCTTTTCATTGATGGGATGGACTGAAGCTGTAACAAGAGACAATGTATTTTATTCATAACACAAAATATAGGAAAGGGAAGTATTAGCCTTGGCCTCTGTCACATTCAGTGAGGGCAAAAAGCTGCAGCTTTTCTGTGCTAATCTAGCACAGAGTACCCATCCCAGGAGCAAACTACACATTTGATTCTGACATTCTTTTTTTTTTGGCTGTGCAGCTTATGGGATCTTAGTTCCCTAACCAGGGACTGAACCCAGGCCATGGCAGTGAGATCGTGAAGTCCTAACCACTGGACCGCCAGGGAATTCCCTTGGCATTCTTTCTTTAGCCATGAAGTAATGTGACTAAAAAATCTTAGTTCACCTTGTCTTTCCTGTTCCTTTTTTAAGGAGTCCATATTTTAGATTAATTGAGAAGGGTTGCTTTTAATATCAACCTCCAAAAAAAAAATCAACCTCCAGTTATGAATATTAAGATACAAGGAATGTACAATAGACACATTTTAGACACCAGCTATGCTAGTGACTTAAAAGATTGAGGTGCTCATGTGACAAAGCAAACCACCGGGCCTGCAGTGATCCTCTGCACACTCTGCCCGTGGTGCCAACCGGCTCAAGAGGGGCCCAGAACCTACCCAGTCACAGCAGGGTTCTCCCGTCCCCACTTTGGCGGCGATGCCTTGGAAGATGGCCTTGATGTGCGGCCTGCGGGAGGGAAGCGCGTGGTTCAGCTGCCAAGAACAGAAGGGCTGAGGGCTCCCTTAAGTTCTCAAGGACGGCCCCTCCCACCCAATTTTTCCTTTCTAATGGGAGGTGGAAATGCCCTTGAAAAAGTAATGAATAAGCTAAGTCCTCAAGGTAAGCCAGTTGGAGGCTGCGGACTATCTGGTTTGAGATAGGAGACAAAAAGCCTGGGCGGAAGGGTCAGCAAAGCCCCAAGAGTAACTTCTGTGCATCTCAGAAGACACTGCGATCCCTGCCGTTCCCACAGAGCCTTCTATTGTCTGGAATGATGTTATCACTGACGGCAGGATCCTGGACAGACAGAACCCGGAAGTGCTTCTAAGAGCTGCACTCCTTATCGTTCGGAGAAAAAGCAGCTGCTCTGCATTCCTTGCACGCCTCCTGTAACTCCTGACACCTCTTCCTTATGTTCTCACTACCAACCAATACAGGCTACTTCACAGAAGGGATTCGGTGAAGACACAAAACCTGAGAGCACTGGAAAGGATGAGGGGCCGAGGCAGCTCCACTGTAACCCTTCAGAGCTTCCCTGGACTCTGACTCACTTCTTCAGGTAAAAGTACCATTTCTGCTCCTGACGGGCCAGTCAGGAAAATGTATTCACGGGAACTGGAGCACTCATGAATGTCTGTATATAGCACTTTCGTGTGTATTGTCTGCAATTCTAACAGCCCCCACTGGGCAGTACCCAAGGTAAATTTTTTCAAGCTTTTGAGAAGCAGGAAGGCCTCTGCTTCTAGATTTTAACATACTGAAGAGAATCATTAGGGAAAGATTGAAGGCAGGAGGAGAAGAGGACGACAGAGGATGAGATGGTTGGATGGCATCACCGACTCGATGGACATGAGCGAGCAAGCTCTGGGAGTTGGTGATGGACAAGGAAGCCTGGCATGCTGCAGTCCACAGGGTCCCAAAGAGTAGGAAATGACTGAGTGAATGAACTAACTAACTAACTAATCATTAGGGGAGTAATTAAAAGAATAATCTTCCCCAATAAACCCCTCATCTCTGGGGACTGGATATGATCACTCCTTTTTTAATAAATTCTTTTTAACTTTTTTTTCTCCAAGCCTCAAAGCATGTGGGATCTTAGTTCCCCAAACAGGGACTGAACCCATGCACCTTACAATAGAAGCTGAGTCTTAACCATAAGACCACCAGGGAAGTCCCCCAATCATGCCTTACTTTATTGGCCTAGTATAAGTCTAGAATACTTGGAAACCAAACTCATTCAAAAAAGCACATTACCTGTCCATGTCTCCCTTAAAGGGATCCTTCCTTTTCTATTTCTTTCTCTTCTGCTCCATCTATTTTTCTTTATCTGGCTTTCTCTTTTCCTGCAGCCTCAGCAGTGGTGTTTCCCTCAGTCTAAGTTACATATAACTAATTACTTGCATCTTTTCATTTTAATCCTCTACCCAGCTTATCACCCCAACCCCTGTCTCATACAGCCCACCTGTTACATTATCACCAGAGCACCTCCCTTCCGGCCGACTACCCGTCCCCTTACACACAGCACAGTGAGCAATGTGAAATTCGTTTCTTCCTTAGTTAAGTAAAAATTCTCTACCTGGTTTCCAGGGAACGGAAGAGGCCCCCTCTGATTGCCATTACTCAGTGATTAACTATATCTGAGCTGAAGAGGCAAATCCTACTCCTAAGTCCAGACAGTGCATTATCTGAGCTGCCTTCTTAAAGCCTCTGAACCCTTGAAGCCTACTTAGAACTTCCAATATTGGTACTGGAGGAGATAACAGAGAAAAAAAAGGAAAAGAGAAACAGGCACACACATTACATCAAAGCAACAAAATGTATAGATAAAAGACTGTGTCCAGCGTCTCCCATGTCCATCACTCAGACTGCACAGAGGAGAGTGTGTGGCAGGGCTGACCTCCACCCACCGATCTCCAGGTCCAGGCTCCCTGTGCCCACGCAGGTGGTGCCTGTGGTACTCACCAGGCCTCCTTGTTCCCTCCTGGCATAAGCGACGGGCCATACCGGGCCCCGTCCTCTCCACCGCTAACTCCGCTCCCCACAAACAAGATGCCCTTCTCCTTGAGGTCTCGACACCGTCTCTACAGGAAAGAAAAAGAATTTCATCATATTTCCTAAAATCAGTTTCTCCCACCATATGAGACAGGTATGGATACCCACATTTGACTTCAGTGACCCAAGAATCCAAGAATAACCTGGCCATTCAAGATACTTAATTCCCTCAGTTTGGGAACTTAAAAAAATCCATGGACGTTTAAGATAGCTACTCAAAGGGAGGGCTTCCCTTGTAGCTCAGTTGGTAAAGAGTCTGCCTGCAATGCAGGAGACCCAGGCCTGATTCCTGGATTGGGAAGATCCCCTGGAGAAGGAACTGGCAACCAACTCCAGTATTCTTGCCCAGAGAATCCCCATGGACAGAGGACTGTAGCCTGGTAGACTACAGTCCATGGGGTTGCAGGAGTTGGACACGACTCAACCCAACAGGAAGTAATAAAGCCAAACATATATTCTCACCTTACAGACCGTGTACAATAAGACTCAATGATGAGGTGGTTTAATACAAGCATGACTTATGGCCATTTAGCACTTGGCTTGTACCAGGACTTTCCCAGCACATGAAACCATTAGAGCAGCGGTCCTCACCCACACTGCCCAATGATGTATCACGTATTGGTGGAGATAAAGGGAACATGAGCATAAATGCCCAGCTTGCCAAGTCTAAGGAGCAGTCATCCTTCTGAGTTACATGTGTGACTGGTGAGAACCTCATCCATCAGGTATGTCTTGATGGCCAGTCCCCAAAGAATCAACACCACAGAAAGATGTCCACTCTTCCCTTACATGTGCAGTGCTGCTACTTTTTTCTAAAATGTTCCCAGAACCTGGAAGAACGTGGACTGAGGAACACTCACCATGGTATCCCTGTATTCAGAATTTCCTCCATCAATGATGATATCACCAACGTCTAGCAAAGGTACCTGTTAACCAGACACCAGCATTAAGGCAAAGAAATGAAAGACAAAAATGAACATACCTTGACCAGTTAGAACAAACAAGAATTTATCCCAAATAAACCCAGCCTGAAAGTGTGTGTGTGTGTGTGTGTGTTTGTGTGTATAAAGTTTAATTTTCAACAATCCTCTCTGAGGCTAGAGCTGAAAGTCAAAGTGTCAATCACTCAGTCATGTCTGACCCTTTTGCAAACCCTTGGACTATAGCCCACCAGGCTCCTCTGTGCATGGAATTCTCCAGGCAAGAATACTGGAGCAGTTTGCCATTTCCTTCTCCGGGTGATCTTCCCAACCTAGAGAGAGAACCCGGGTCTTGCACCCTGCTGGCAGATTCTTTGCTGTCCGGCCACCAGGCCAGGGAAACCCTATTTGAAAGCTTAGGGCTAGCAAGCAAACCCAGTCAGAACTCTCCACAACTGAAATGATTCTTTTTAACTAAGATTTTTACAACAAACAAATCCTACTTGGAAAATTTTATATTTCCAATGGGTAAATTCTGATTTATATTCCTAGATTGGATTAGTTTTAAAAGATCTATAAAATCTCTCCCTGCAACAGAGTGTGGGTCCAGTAGATATCTAATGGTTTGGTATATGAATAAATGATTTGATCATCACCATTTGAAGATGGCAGAAAAAGACCAGGCGTTGAACAAGAATATCTTCCTATGACTCACCAACTAAGCTGGCTTTATCATTCAATCTCTCCCCACAAGGGAGATTCATTATTCAACCTCCCCCCACAAGGCTCCAGTTTATATTACTTAATACTGTCCTGTGCTGAAGAGTGGACTTCCATGGTGGCTCAGATGGTAAAGAATCTGCCTCCAATGCAGGAGACCCAGGTTCGATCCCTAGGTCAGGAAGGCCCCCTGGAGAAGGGAATAGCTACCCATGTCAGTATTCTTGCCTGGAGAATTCCATGGACAGAGGAGCCTGGTGGGTTATAGTCCAGGGGTTCGCAAAGAGTCAGATACAACTGAGTGACTCTCTCTCTCACACACACACACTAAAGAGTACTCTGCAATTTTCCAGTTCATTCTGTCTGAACTAGTCCTGGGCAGCCTGACATCTTACTACACAAAAAATCTGGTGTCATTTATCACAACGTTCTTTTCTAGGTCATTTTTCTTTTTTAACAGAGGCATAGTGGAATCTTAACCACTGGACAGCTAGGGAAGTCCCAGAACTGTAAGTTTTTTTTGAACATCAAAGATAAGAGTTCACTGAAATTACTGATATCTCTATTCTGGTTGATAATGAAGTCTTACTGACATGTCTCTTGGTGGCCTCAGAATTTTATATACAAAGAATTATTACCACCCAAGGATATACTGTTTACTTAATTAGCGCCAATCAAGTTAAACACCACTGAGTCGTTAAAGCACCAGTCTTGTCAGAAGTGAGCACACTGCACCCAGAAACTGGAAAGGGACAAAAGTCCTAAACTAAAGAGCAGTGAAAGAGCTAAACGAAGTCCTGTCAGATAAGTGGCAGTTCGGGGAGAGCCGGCCTCACCAGTTTCTCAATGAAATCATCGACGGCCTGACCGGCCTTCACAAGCAGGATGATCCGCCGTGGCTTCTTCAGCTTGGACACCATTTCCTCCAAAGAGTGCGCGCCAAGCACCTTGGTGCCCTTCGCCTCATTAGCCAAGAAGTCATCAACTTTGGAGACTGTCCTATTAAAAGCACAGACCTAGAAAGGCAAGGGGCCTGATTAGGAGATCTAGGACACAGAAGACCTTCAGACTGAGGATCAAGGGACAATGGGTTTCTACACAGCCCAAGGTTTTGGGGAGGGAGGACCCTGATTCTAACTTTTCTCCACCCAAGTGCTGATGGATCACCATCAAGTTAATTATAACAGGATAAAAAAGCAAAGGACTGGATATAAGCAAAGGTCAACTGCCCGTAACATATCGGGCCACAGCCTGTCACTATTTGGTTAGGACTTAAATCTGGGAACCAGCTAGTTCCAGACTGTTACCTTTTGTCACTGATAATGCTTGTATCTAAGCCAGTTCAGTACTCACATCTGAACTTTTCTCCAGATCCCATTAGGCAATAAAGTTAGAGATCTACACTTTCGGAAGGATTTCTTCTCCTCAGGAGAGGGGCAGGTTTACTCAAGGCCACAAACCTTACAGAATGGGCAGATCCGTTCAGCAGGACTCCTTTCTGAGAGGACTGTGAAGTCGGCCCTCCCACCCCCACATGTAAAGTGGGCCTTCTCTCTCTCGCAAAAATGTTAAGCAACAACAGAGCACACAGCAAGAGAACCACGATTCCAGGTTACAGGGGATCTTCCAAATCAGAACAGTCCCCCACACTCAGGCTAAGGCACGGAGGACCCCAAGGGAAGAGTGTGCCCCTCCCCACTTACCACAAAGCCATGATCATTCATGTTCAAAATTAAGTTCTGGCCCATGACAGCCAGTCCAATGAGGGCAATGTCAGCTCTGAAAGAGGGGAAGAGGAACAAAGGAAACTGTGTCAGTTGCACCTAATTCATCACAACGCAGAGTTTTCCAGCTTTTGATACAATTAACAACTCGTTTTAACGTTCCTCTAGCCCACTCCTCCCTTTTGCACTTTATACCCCGGGGTTGCAGCCTTCAGGCCACCCCCCCTCTACCACTTCGCGGGTCCCCAAGTTCTCCTGGACCAACGACACATGCACGAGGAGGGGATTCAAGGCACGGAGTCTTTTCTGCGCTACGGCCGAGCTGGTGATGACGCGTCCGAGGCCTTCCGTCTCCGCAGCCGGGCCGTCCAGGGACCCGAGCTGCCCTCGGCCACGCCTGTCCCCTCCTCTCTCTCCTTTCCTAGGAACGGGATCCGCCCGCGTCGCCTCCAGGGGCAGAGGGGCTGGGTCCCAGGAAAGGCGAGGCCGCGGGGCTGACATGGGGTCCGGCGCTTCTCTGGAGGTCCCGGGCTCCGGGCGCCACGAGGCCGGGCTCTGGAGACCCCTGGGCTCTGGAGACGTCGGGGGCGGCTCCGGTGTCAGCGGCGGCCCCCGGAAAGTCCCCTAGCCACCCGCGGGATCACTCACTGGGCCATGGCGGCGACGGCGGCGACGGCAGAGCGGACTGGAGCAATCAGACTCGAAGTGCAGGGAGCGCACGGCCAGGAGGATCCGGGCTGAGTCCCGATCCAGCTCGCCCCGGGGGCCGCGGCTTTCCAGCGCTGGCCAATCGGAAGGACGGGGCGGAGTCTTGATGCCACGCCATTGGTCCGGCCCGGCGCCTGTTAGACCACCTGAGGAAAGTAGGCCCGCCCACTCCTAGGGCTGGTTCAGGAGAGCGCCGAGCACATCGATGACACCTCCTGCTCGCCCGCGGGGGTGTGGCTCGGGCGGTGGGCGCGGGTCCCGGGCAAAGGACACGTAGCGCCTGAGTTCTGCTCTGAGCCTCGGTCCGGAAGTGGCTCACGTCGGGCCGCGCTTTTCAGTGTAGCGGGCGCTTGGACGCCTGTTGTCCAAGTGTCCATCACTCCCTTTGCCAGCCTCACTCTGGGGATTATGCGTGGAATTGCTCCACCCTGGACAGGGCCCGAGGTGTATTCTTGCCTTTTTTAATTTTTATTTATTTGGCTGTGCCTGGCTCTTAGTTGCTGCTTAGGGGATCTTTAGTTATAGTTGCATCATGAGAACTCTCAGTTGTGGCATGGGGGATCTTAGTTGCCCCACCAGGGATCAAACCTGGACCCCGCAGAGTCTTAGCCACTGGAGCACCAGGGAAGTCCCTGGAGGTGTATTCTTGTCTGTAGGCACGTGTGCGACGAGTACCAAGAAACGTTGCTCCTCACCACGACTCTGGGGGGGAGACGTGTTGCCTCTTTTTCAGTTCAGTTCAATTCAGTCGCTCAGTCGTGTCCGACTCTTTGCGACCCCTTGAATCGCAGCACGCCAGGCCTCCCTGTCCATCACCAACTCCCGGAGTCTACCCAAACCCATCAAGTCGGTGATGCCGTCCAGCCATCTCACCCTCTGTAGTCCCCTTCTGCTCCCAATCCCTCCCAGCATCAGGGTCTTTTCCAATGAGTCAACTCTGCATGAGGTGGCCAAAGTGCTTTTTTACAGGTGAAGAAACAGGCTCAGAGAGCAGGTGGGGGATGTACTTGCTGGGCTGCGATGGGGCCTGGCTTGGAGGTAGAGAAGCCACCTAAGGGTGAACGGGCAGTTCAGGGCATTAAATCCCATCTCCCATGTGCGCAGTCCCTGGTGCATAAGGCGTCTTCACTCTCAGCCCTGAACCCTGCTGCCTCCTGTGCAGATGCCCTTGAAGCTTAGCTCCTCAGGTAACTTTTAGAGTTTTGTTGCTTTCTGTGGATGCTTGGCATCACTTAACAGTGCCTTGCACATAGTAAGTGCTCAGCAGCTGCTTAACTACTAGAGTCACACAGCCAGTAAATGGCTAGATAGTGACCCAGTTGTGACCCATTCAAGGCTATTTCCATGGCACCAATTGCACAGGTTAATTTGTAAAATAGGTTTTAATAGATACTGTTAGAACTTCCACCTTAGCAGATGTCCCATTATAGCCCTTTTTTGCCTATTGAAAGTCTTGTGTTAATTAAATCACAGAAATAATGTTTCTGTTAATACAATGTTTCTATTAATTGTTAATGCAATAGTGGAATCTTACTCTGAAATTTAAATATGGTATCACAGCCCTCTTTATCTTGTATGTACCTATTCTATATGAGGGTTCCTCCATTAGAGACAGTCTTTGTATCAGTTTTTTTCCTTGAGCTGCTTCCATATTTGCCTGTTTTGCACCGGCCAAGCCTTATTACACTTCTTAGTGTACAATTTTTCTTTTCTTTTTACTCTCCTGTTGCCTGGCAGGCACGATGTTCATGGACTGTGGTTGACTCACCGCACAGATGTACAGGTGGGGCCAAGCTTAACACAGAACTTCCCCCTGAGAGCAAGAGCAGTCCCTGCCCATGGGTCCCTTCTTGCTTCTATGGGTACAGAATACAGCTGTAAGCAAGCCTCATATTTATTTTAAAGCTATAAGCAAGGTGCCCAGCTGCCCTCAGCGCTACCCTGAACGGGAAGGAAGTGACTAGGGAGATATGAACTGATAAGCCAGGCAAACCAGAGCATGCAAGCTGACTGCCACAGTGAGCCCTGCACTGGGACCTGAGCCTTAATCCCATTTCTACCCACACGGGGGATTTGGTAGCTTTAGATGAACCAGCTGGTCAGAATCTTGGAGCTCTTTCAGCCCAATGTCCCCAAACTCCAGTGTTATTTATTGGCTCATCAAATCTTTGTTGCGGTGTTCAGGCTTCTCTCTAGTTGCAGTGATGCAGGCTTAGCTGCCCCACAGCGTGTGGCATCTTAGTTCCCAATCACGGATTGAACCTGCATCCCCCACATTGGAAGGAAGATTCTTAACCACTGGATCACCAGGGAAGTCGCACAGGGAGCTTGTTCAATGTGAATTCTGAGACCACAGGTCTGGGATAGGCCAGAAAATGTGCATTTTGTCAAGACCCACTGGTGATTCTGAGTGCTGGAGGAAAGAATTCTCAAAGAGTGATCAGGACCTCTGAAAGTCCTTGATACTCTTTCCAGGGAAGTGGGGACGAAGCTATTTCCTGGTATTATTTGCCTTTTTCATTCTCTTTCTCTCACAAGTGTACCGTGGAGTTTCCCTAGGGGCTGCATCACATGTAACACAGGCCAGATTAAATGTAGAGACAGATATGAGAATCCATCTGTCTTAAGCTGTATGAAGCAGAGCATTCGTTAGATTTAAAAAACCATCAAACAATACCACTATCTCAGCAGGAAACAGGGGTTTGATCCCTGGGTTGGGAAGATCCCCTGGCGAAGAGAATGGCAACCCACTCTAGTATTTCTGTCTGGGAAATCCCATGGACGGAGGAGCCTGGCGGGCTACAGTGCACGGGGTTCAATCACAAAAGAGTCGGACAAAGCTGAGCATGCATGCCCACTCATCTCACTGCATTTCCTTTTATTTTGGAAAATTGTTATTCCAAGGTTTCTTTTTTTTTAATGGTAAATATTAATAGACATAATTTATATAAACAAGAGCTTGTTGTGTCTTCAGTAATTTTTAAGAGTGTAAAGTTGTCCTGACATCAACAAGTGTGAGAACCACTGATATAGCCCAACTCATATTTTAGGGAAGGAGGAAATTGGGGCTCGGAGAGCCGAGACTTGCTGAATCACACAGTGAGACTCTAGAACTACCTGTTGGGATGGACTGGATGCCTTCCAAGTCCTGTTCAGTAAAACCTGGAATCAGGAGACAGCCTCAGTGGTTGGGGAGCCTGTTGTCCCAGAAGTCAGATCAGATGGCTTCTCGAATGATCCAAAATGTCTTTCTTGGAGGCTGCTGGCTGGAGAACGAAAAGCAATAGGTTTTGGTGACGCTCTGACCTTAGCTGGCTCCAGTTCCAGCTCTTTCTAGCTGTGCAACTGGGGCAAATTACCAAATCTCAGAGTTTCCTCATGTGTGAAACAGGATTGACAAGGTCTCACGGGGTAGCACTAGGGTTAAATGAAGCCCACTGGACTTGCGTTTAGTACTTAGAACTCACATCTTAGTTTCTCCCTTTGTTATGAGAGAATCTCAGAAAGGAGAGACATAAACCACAGTGGAAAATAGGACTGAATTTTAAAATTGCTCTCAGCTTTCTTGTGAAAGCTTCTGGGGAGAGAGGGGGTAGAAAAACACTTTTGCAACTTCTTGCCATACTCTCACAGATCAAACCCATCTGGTGAGAAAGTGGTCTGTTACTTGAATTGTTTGCTGGAGAAAATATTCCCACTTGACTAGGAGACACACCCATGCATTTCACAACATCTATTTTTCCAATTCAAACACATCATTCCAGGCATCTCCTCCTTTTCCCCATGATCATTACCTCAGTTCTACACCCCTTTAGGATGCACCAGCATCCCTTCCCCTTTTATTTTAATTTCACTTATTGGCTGTGCTGGGTCTTAGTTGCAGCATACAAGATCATCTACCTTCACTGCGGCACACAGGATCTTTAGTTGGGGCATGCAAACTCTTAGTTGTGGCATGTGGGATCTATTTCCCTGACCAGGGATTGAACCTGGGCTCCCTGCATTGGGAGTGCAGAGTCTTAGCTACTGGACCACCAGGGAAGTCCCAGCACATCCCATTAAAAGTGCTTTTTTCTCCCCAGAGGATCCCAATTGTCTGGAACATACACTCAGTCTGAGCTTGGTCTGCAGGGCTGACCAATGTGACCGACTTAGTTGTTCAGTCATGACCGACTCTTTGCGACCCCATGGACTGTAGCCCACCAGGCTCCTCTGCATGAAATTCCCCAGGCAAGAATACTAGAGTGGGTAGCCATGTCCTCCTCCAGGAGATCTTCCTGACCCAGGGATGGAAGGCATGTCTCCTGCACTACAGGCAGATTCTTTACCATCTGAACCACCAGGGAAGCCATTCACACTAACCAGGGAGGTGAACACAGCCCTTTCTCTGCTAGATCTCCAGCCCAAGTAATAAATTTTACTTTCAAATTCAAGGACTGCCATCTCCCCCCATCCCAACCCCCCCACAATATACAACAGTGTGAGACAAGGACTCACTTCTGTCCTCTTCTCTTAGGCTGTGTTCCAGACACTGAATTACTTTCTGGTTCCAGAGAAGGGCCTGAGTTGCTGCTTGGCCTGCTCATGTCCTTGTTACCTCCCGCCACCTTGCAGTCTTGGCTCATGTGTTCCTCTCTTTTCCCAGGACGACTTAGATGCCATGTGCCTGTGGGAACAGTGCTTGCCACAGCCCGCCTTCATTTCCATCTCCATCACTGTACCATCCATCCAAGAGGAGGGGGACCATGTCTGTCTTATTCCTAAGTGTGTTTCTATCACCTTCCTATGCCCTGCTCATAACAGATGGTCACTAACGGTTGCTATTGAAGGACAGTTTTATAAAAGGGGCACCATTCAAGCCAGTCAGTCTGGGACAGTCCTTTTTCACACCTGTTTTCTTACATAGTTTTCACAGAAATCACTTTCATTTCTCACAATTGTTCTGGCTTGAATGACATATTGGCATCCTACTATAAAATGATATTATCACTTCTTCATAGTACTGTACTTCAAAAAAGATTTATTGAAGTATAATTTATATGCAAGCCAATTCATACACTATAAAAATATA